ATGCAGTCTTTGCAGCCCAGGGAGCCTGTGGTGGGCCAGGCTGTGCTCACCCACCATCCAGCCTCCCCGTCAGTGGGCCAGGCAGCCTGGCATCGCCCTCGCCTTGGCACCACTGCTTCCCACCTCCCTGGTTTCAGTCAGGCCAGGAGTTGCTTCCTCCTGTAGGTGGCGCTTCTCTGGATGGGGCCCAGCCTGGGGTGACTATGCCCTGTGCTTCCCGGTCCACTTTCTTTCACTCTCGGAAGTATCTTGAGGAGGAGGGTAAATTATATGGTCACCCCGCCTGCGGGCTACCTACATCTGAATAACTGAGGAAGCTTATTATAAATACTGATTTTCTGCATGCAAATTTTGCTTCAGTAGAAAAGTCAACAACATGCAGATTTAAAAAAAAAGAAAATTATTTATTTATTTGGTTGCACTGGGTCTTAGTTGTGGAAGGCGGGCTCCTTATTTGTGGCTCACGGGCTCCTTAGTTGCGGCAGGTGGGCTCCTCAGTTGTGGCACGCAAACTCTCAGTTGCGGCATGCATGTGGGATCCAGTTTCCTGACCAGGGATTGAACCTGGGTTGCCCGCACTGGGAGTGCGGAGTCCCATCCACTGAGACACCAGGGAAGTCCCCAAAATGCAGATTTTAAAACATTTATGAGATACTTGGGGAAACGTGAATAGTCCCTTGACAGTTAGGGATACTAAGGAATTTCTGGTGGTTTTTTTGGCCCTGCCACCAGGCCTGCAGAACCCTAGTGATCTCGGAGAGGCAGCAGCAGTGAGTGGTGGCTTGAAGCAAGATCTTAGTGCCCTCCCAGGAATTGAACCTGGGCAGCCTGGATGAAAACCAGGAATCCTAGCCGCTAGTTCACCAGGGGCTAGAGTCTAGAAGCAAAGTTCCCCTGGCTCTTACCCCCACTGAAAAATGCATTTCTCAAGGAGGCAAAAAGTGTAAAAACAGGTACAAAGTTTATCATTAGAGACATAACACAACACGTGGGAGAGCTCACAGAGAAACTGTTTAGTTAAGACAGAAGCAGGGCAGAGATGCACACCCAGAGAGGAAGGGTGTGGGCGTCCCCCCTAATGAGGAGGAACATTGAAGAGGGGTTAAGTCATTTATATGGGGCAGTTCTTCCGGGTCTTTGTTTACCTTTGGCCAATTATCTGGGTTTCTTTTTCCACACCTGACCTGCTCTAGGACCCTCCCCAGCCTGTGTGCACAACTTTTTTCCAAGATGGATTCCGGCCCAGAGGCCTAAGGGGGGCCTTGGCATCACCTATTCTGGGTGATTTTTGACCCCCAAGGAGCCTTTCTGCACAGGTGCAATGTCTCCCTTGCCCCAAGGATGGGAAATATAAGACCTCTTGATCTTTTACTCAAGCAAGGTTTAGCCCCTCTCTGTTCCTGCCATGACTGTTATCGTAAAGTGTCCAAAGGAGACAAAGTCCAGCTATTTACCCTGTTTCTCTTGTTATTTCTATCTCGAAGGGCAGACAGGAGGCTGGTCATAAATATCTAACCTGGAGCCCACCTATCTCCTGTCTCAGGAAATGCAAACAGGAGGCTAGTTGTAAGTGTCCAGCCTGAAGCCCACCTTTTTCCTGCCCCAAGAAATGTAAACAGGAGGCCAGTTGTAAATGCCTAGCCTGGAGCCCACCTATCTCCTGCCTCACTAGTTCCCCGACCAGGGTTCTAGGTATCGAACCCAGGCCCCCTGCAGTGGAAGCGAGAAGTCCTAACCACTGGACCGCCAGATAATTACCCCCCCCACCTAGCCCCCCCACCGGCCCTAGTTTTGTTTGTTTGTTTGTTTTTTGTTTTGCGGTATGCGGACCTCTCACTGCTGTGACCTCTCCCGTTGTGGAGCACAGGCTCCGGATGCGCAGGCCCAGTGGCCATGGCTCACGGGCGCAGCCGCTCTGCGGCACGTGGGATCCTCCCGGACCCGGGCACAAACCTGTGTCCCCTGCATCGGCAGGCGGACTCTCAACCACTGCGCCACCAGGGAAGCCCCCCCAACCCCGCTTTTTTTTTTAAGGTGAGGTAATTATATTGTAGTTATGCTTTTTTTGAAAACAACCTTTACTGAGGTATAATGTATGTGCCATAAAATGTACCTATTTTTAATGTACGGTTCACTTTTGACAAATGTGTACACCTGTGTAATGATCACAGTTCTGACATAGAACTTTTCCACCACCTCAAAAAGTGCCTTCCTGGGGACTTCTCTGGGGGCACAGTGGTTAAGAATCCGCCTGCCAATGCAGGAGACACAGGTTTGATCCCTGTTCCGGGAAGATCCCACATATTGTGGAGCAACTAAGCCCGTGTGCCACAACTACTGAGCCTGCGCTCTAGAGCCCTAGAGCCACAACTACTGAGCCCGCATGCCACATTACTGCAGCCTGAGAGCCTAGAGCCCGTGCTCCACAACAAGAGAAGCCACTGCAATGAGAAGCCCACGCACCACACTGAAGAGTAGCCCCCGCTCACGGCAACTAGAGAAAGCCCACGCGCAGCAACCAAGACCCAACACAGCCAAAAATAAATAAATAAATAAGTGATAAATTAATTACATTTCTAAAACAAAAAAAAGTGCCTTCCTGCCCCTTTGCACTTGGTTTCCTCCCAGCTCTGGCCCCTGGCAAACAGGTATGCTTCCTATCACTAGTTTTGCCTTTTCTAGAATTTCTCATCAATGGAGTCATAGACTCAGCACAATGCTTGTGAGTTTCACACGTGTGTGTGTATGTGTGTGTGTGTGTGTGTGTCGGTGATTCTTGCTGTTGTTGCCTAGTAATCTTCATTATCTCTTTATCAGACAGTGAACATTTGAGTTCTTTCCAGCTTTGGGCAGTTATGAAAACAGTTCACAATTGCAGATTTCAAAACATTTAGGACGTAGCTGAGGAAACTTGAACGCTTACTTGATATTTAATGATATTAAACTGGGCTTCCCTGGTTGCTCAGTGGTTAAGAATCCGCCTGCCAATGCAGGGGACACAGGTTCGAGCCCTGGTCTGGGAAGATCCCACATGCCATGGAGCAACTAAACCCATGCACCACAACTACTGAGCCTGCGCTCTAGAGCCCGCGAGCCACAACTACTGAGCCCGCATGCCACAACTACTGAAGCCCGCGCGCCTAGAGCTTGTGCTCCACAACAAGAGAAGCCACTGCAATGAGAAGCCCATGCACCGCAGCGAAGTATAGGCCCCGCTCACCACAACTAGAGAAAGCTGTGCACAGCAACGAAGACCCAAAGCAGCCAAAAATAAATAAATTTATTTTTTTTAAAAAAATGTTAGTTTAAAAAAAAAAGAAAAAGAGGAGCTCCTTTCTGCTTGCTAGATGGGATGCTGCCCGATTCACGAATTGTTGAATAAAGCCAATTAGAAAAAAGTTTTATTAAGGAGTTCGTATTTTAGGTGGAATAATTGTTTTGTGATTCTGTTTTTATTTTTATTTTTTGGCCACACCATCTGGCTTGTGGGATCTTAGTTCCCTGACCAGGGATCGAACCCAGGGCCCCCGGCACTGACTCCTAACCACTGGACTGCCAGGGAGTTCCTGTGGTTCTGTTTTCAAACGGAGTCTTTATCTTTCCGAGGGAATGCTGAGATATTTACATGTCGTGATCTGAGCGCAGGTTGGAAAAGAATTTCCAGACACAAGGCAGAATGTAAGGAAGGCAGAGTTTATTAAAGAGAAGCGTTGCTGCAAGAACAGCTGGCCGACTTCCTGGTAGCCAGGGAAAGTCGACAATGAGTATGGGTTGCTTGTCTGTTTTTATAGCCAGGGAACCTGCGAGTCATCTGCTAACTGGTCAGAATATGTATACTTTCAGCGTGCTGAGTGGGAGGAAAACTGGGCAAATGTCTTTCCTTATATGGGATGGGAAAGGGACAGGGCATGCTGCTTGGGAGGGCTCTGGGCCATGGCAGTGGTCCCATTGTGACAGAATGACGGGAGTCCTGCAACTCTTTGTTCCGGCAATGTTGGTCCTTTAAGTTTATCTTCTTTGTTCTTAGAGCACACCACCCTGACTCCAGGCGCTAGTTCCCCTCTCAAGGGCAACGAAAGCTTTCAGTTTCCCTGGCCTCCCTCCAGGGATGGTCTACACGGGGCCTGCAGGTGTAGTCACCTGGTTCCCATTATTCTGCGCTTTGCCTTTTTTCATCTAATGGTGCTTCTCCTAGACCGTTCCTCCCTCTTGCTTGGGGCTGTGCACTCTTGTGTTGTGTGGATATAAGTTAATCTGAGTCCCTTATTGGTGGACATTTAGGACACGGCCAGTCTTTGCATGATAAACAGCTTTGCAGTGAGTAACCTTGAACACACTTGGTTTAATCATGTGTGAAAACATCTGTAGGGTGAATTTCTCTCAGTGGAATGGCTGGCTCAGAGCAGCCTATGCATCTGGAGTTTGGACAGATAACGATAACACCAGGTTGCCCTCCAGGAGGTTGTATCCACTCATGCTCCCCGTTCATCGATGAGCCTCTCGGGACAGGTGGGCACAGGCAGGGCGGTGGGAAGGCCTGGGTGTGCCTGGCCAGCAGCGCTGGTCTGGGCAGGTGCAGCTTGGAGCCCTGCAGGACAGTGGGAGATCAGGCGAGAAAAGTTCCGGATCCCTGAGGGCTTCGAACGCCTCACTAGGAAGTTGAATCTTTTGTTTTCCTGGCCACCCCGCACAGCATGCAGGATCTTAGTTCCCTGACCAGGGATCAAACCCACTCCCCCTGCGGTGGAAGCGCGGGAGTCACTGGATCACCGGGGGAAGTCCCGGGAGTTGGATGTTGAATCTTTATTCCATAGGAGGGGCCCTGGAGGGTCTGAGCAGGGGAGTGCACTCCTGCTTAAGAAGAGGGACTCTTGGGGCAGTGGGGTAGGCAGTGGGTTAGGGCTGGGAGGCAAGAGGCAGACAAAGAAGCCCCCCCACCCCTGGTCCCCAAGTGACTCCCCACATACCAGCCCTGCCTTGGTCTCCCCGAAGCCACCCCATCCCCCAGCACAGGTCCAGACGCCGTCCCCAGCCAGCCCCAGGCCCTTGTGACAAGCTCCTGGCTCCATCGTCCCGCTCCCCTCTTCACCCCCGTCTCCCCACAGGCTGCTGGCCAGCGTTGAGGGGTTGTAATCTGTTTCTGGATCCACCGAGCTCTCCCAGCACTGGGGCCTTCCCCTGAGATGCGCCCTCTTCTTGGAACATCCCCTGCCCCCTGTCCCTGGCTCAGCCCTGCTCCCCCTCCGGGACTTGGCCCAGGTGTCACGTCCTCTGCGAAGTTTTCCCCGGCGTCCAGGTGAGTGGCTGCCCCTTCTGGGAGTGACTCCTTGACCCGGGTCTGTGCAGCTTCCTTTGCGCTCCTGTCATCAGCTTTGTGTCTGCTCCGGAGGGGAGCAGAGTCCGGGTGGTGTCTACTTCGGTTAGCCATGAGCCCAGCCCTGGCCATCTCATCCTGTGCTCTGGGACAGGAGCAGCTGGAGTAGAAGGGGAGGGGCAGTGGTTGACATGGTGACATTCAGACGCCACTGCTGGGAGGGCGGGGGGAGTGGAGGATGGTGAAGAGGATGCGTGGGGTGTGGGCCTGCTCACCAGAGGCAGTGTCTGTGCCACCGGCTGGCTGAGAGGACATGAGGGGTGGGAAGCTGGCAGGGCTCCCTGGGCTGACCTTCCACTTTCCTCTGAAGTTTCTGGGGTCCAAGGAGCGAGGGAGTCACAGGTTGGCATGGGCAGAGGGGCAGAGAGAGGTGGGAGGGAGAATGGGTCACACAGAGTCTCCCCCCAGGAGTGGGTCAGGCCCGCCACCTGCTCTGTCCCCCGCCCCCCGAGCTGCCCTGCGTGGGGTTGAAACATTTCAGCCGGGCGTGGCCAGTCAAATATCAGGAGATGTCGCGTTAGACTCTGGATTTTGCCAGCTTCTCTTGAAAACCCAGAGCTTCGGCATCCTGGACTCAGACACCTGCACAGCCGCAGCCGGCCAGCGTGCAAGCCCAGTATCGCCCCGTTGCGTCCCTGCTCAGATACCCGTGGGCAGTGCTGCGTGGCATTGTGCTTCGTCTGCTGGGCTGTCTTTTCTTCTTTTTTAGTAGTGAAGCACTTTTCATACCCATGTCTTTACTAAAAGCGGGAAAACAGAAGCTCCACAGAGGGGCCGCGTGTTCTCCTGGTGGCCCTCCTTCCTCCCAGTCCTGCCTGGAGGTGACACGCGTTAGGGGGAGCTCTGCGGAAGGTGGGTTGAGGAGGACCCTGCCCAGCAGCTCCTGAGCCCTTTGGAGGGAGGGAGGGCAGGTGTGGGGTCATAGCTCAGCATGCGGATGGAGGCCAGGAAGGAACCACAGTGAGGCCATGGGGAAGGAGTCTTGATTTGGGGCCACAGGAAAAGGGTGAGTGAGCTGGGCTCTTGCTCCCCTGTGTCTGCGGGAACTGCAGAGCCGAGTCAGGGTCAGGTCCTGGGGGAAGGTTTGTGTCTGCGCTGCCTGCCTGGGTGACCAGCCGGCCTGGGGGGTTAGGATGGTCCTTGGGGCAGGACCCAGGGTGACCAGGTCGGGAGGGGGCTGGAGAGTATGCAGTCTGGAGCGCCTGGCATTTACTCCTAAGTGCCCAGGGATCCCGGGGGCAGTGGGATGTTGATGGCGTGGGGTCCCCAGGGACCCCCAGTGTGGCAGGGTGGCGCAGGCGCCATCCCCTGTTCTCCTATTTCAGAGGCCACCTCCTTATCAGTCCCTTCCTCCTCAGGGCCCTGCCGGATGCAAGCACTTCCTCCTGCACCCTGGGGCCCTCTGTCTGCACTTCTCCCCCTGGCCCTGCATCCCTCTGCACCAGCCTGGCGTGGGCAGCCCCACTTTACAGACCGGGAAAGGCAAACCCACAGAAAGGAACCAGGCTCTGCCAGAGGCAGGCTCTGGTACTCCTGGTGTCAAAACGTTTGGGTACTCACCTGTCTGGAACCCCCATCCAGCCCTTACCCCACCTCGGCATCCACCAGGCACTGGTTCCCGCACGCAGAGATGCACCATCTGGTCTTTACTAAGTTGAAAACAAATACAAAGGAAAGAGTCTGATACAGCAGTTTTGTTATTTGAATTGGCTACCTCTTAAGCTTAAAAAAAACCCACAACTCTGGTATAAGCTTGAATTTTTTAAACTTAAAGTTTTTAAAATTTTTAATTATTTTATATTTTCAGTTTTATGGATATATGATTGACATATAAAACTGTACAACATGGTGACTTGGCATACGTGTGTGTGGTGAAATGATCACCACGGTAAGTTCAGTTAACACCCATCATCTCACATCGCTATAATTTCTTTTTCTTGTGATGAGAACTTTTGAGATCTACTCTCTTGGTAACTTTCAAATATATGACATGGTGTTGTTAACTTTAGTCACCGTGCTGTACGTTACATCCCCATGAGTTATTTTATAACTGGAAGTTTGTACCTTTTGACCCCCTTCACCTGTTTTAACCCATCCCCCCGGAACCCCTCCGGCCTCTGGCAACCACCAGTCTGTTCTCTGTATCTATGAGTTTGAGCTTTCTAGATTCCACGTATAAGGAAAATGAAGTAGTTTTTGTCTTCTTCTGTCTGACTTATCTAACGGATCTTAACTGCCTTCAAGGTCTATCCGTGTTGTTGCAAATGGCAGTATTTCCTTCTTTTTTATGGCTGAATTGTACACACACACACGCACCATGTCTGCTTCATCCATTCATCCATCAGTGGACACTTAGGTTGTTCCATGTCTTGGCTACTGTAAATAATGCTACGGTGAACGTGGGGCTGCAGATATCTCTTCAAGAGAGTGATTTCATTTCCTTCAGATTAATACCCAGAAGCGAGATTGCTGGACCATATGATAGTTCTAGTCTTAATTTTTCGAGGAAACTCCAGGCTGTCTTCCACAGTGGCTGCACCAGTTTACACTCCCATCAGCAGTGCACAAGGGTTCCCTTTTCTCCACATCCTTGCCCGCACTTGTTTCTTGTCTTTTTGATAATAGCCATTCTAACAGGTGTGAGGTGAGATCTCATTGTGTTGGTATTTTTTTTTTTAATGTTTTTATTTTTTGGCCGCACCACACGGCGTATGGAATCTTGAGTTGCCTGGCCAGGGATCGAAGCCACGCACCCTGCTTTGGAAGCGAGGAGTCTTAACCGCTGGACCACCAGGGAAGTCCCCTCATTGTGGTTTTGATTTGCATTTCCCTGCTGGTTAATGATGTTGAGTAGCTTTTCATGTGCCTGTTTGGAAAAATGTCCATTCAGATCCTCTGCCCATTTTTTAATTGGATTGTTTGTTTGTTTGGCTATTCTGTGAGTTGTATGAGTTCTTTATGTATTCTGGATATTAATGTTTTCTCCCATCCCACGGGTTATCTTTTCATTTGATGGCTTCCTTTGCTGTGCAGAAGCTTTTTAGTTTGATGTAGTCTCACTTGTCTATTTTTGCTTCTATTGCCTTTGTTTTTGGTGTCAAATCTAAAAAAATCATCGCTAAGGCCTATGTTTTCTCCTAGGAGTTTTATGGTTTCGGGTCTGTGTTCAAGTTTTTAATCTATTTTGAGTTGATTTAAAGATCTTTTAAAGTGAACATTTGAGAAGCCAAGTGACGCTTCTTTCCTGTGCTCCGGGGGTTCCCCTGGTCACTGCTTGGGGACCGTCGCGGCTGCCCCTGAGCCAGTGATGCAGGTGAGAAGCAGGCGGCCTGAATGCCCGCACCCCAGGATGAGGGGGTGACATTTGGGGATGGGCGACAGGCACAGACAGCTGTCAGTCACCCCAGGACGTCGGTGCTCATTTGTTCCAGAAAGTGGCAGCTACGGCTCTTTCTTGGAGCCTCCAGCCTTCCTGCGGTCAGTTGGCTGACACTCAGAGAAGAGGGGAGAAGTGCTGGTGAACGTTTATGTCTGACTGTGTGCCAGGCACAGCCACGGAGCTTGTCATTTGCATTGTCTCGAGTGATTCAGTCTTCCCCACCGTCAAATGCAGTGCTTTTCTTCCTCTTTTACAGACAAGGAAGCGGAGAAGTGAGGGTTTTGGCAGCTTTGCTCAGGTCACCCAGCTAGTAAGAGTGGGAGCCAGGAACGATCTCTGAGTCTGCCTGAAAGAGCCAGACCCGGAGGGCAGTGGAGCTCCGTGGCCCAGAGTGGGGGGGTCCAGCCTCGGAGGCCACGCTAGCCAGTGGGTTGGAACAGGCTGGGTGGGCCCAGGGATGCTGGGCACCTAGGAACCGCACACTCGCTCATTGCCTGGTACCTGTCTCTGGGCCTGAGGCTGGTGCAGGCAGATTTCATCAGCCAGACTGGAGCCTGGGAAAGTGCCAACCTCTCTGGGGTTGCCCAAGGTAGGAGCACGAGGCTGGCCTGTTGGGACTCCGTGGATTTCACGGCGCTTCCCCACTGCCCACGGCAAGGAAATGGGGTGGCATTTCAGTCCTTCCTGACCTTCGGGAGCTCCCAGCTCTCAATCCCAGGGAATCGGGCCCCTCTGGTGCTCTCTCAGAGCCCAGGGGCAGGTGGCGAGCGGGCATTCACCTGCTGATGGGTCTGGATGCTGCGACTTGTTTCCAGTTCTCAGAACATCTGTGGCCGCACGAGGCCAGCTCCCCTGGGACTCCTGATGGAGGTGGTGGTCCTGGGAATTTGTCCATTTTCCAAGGGGTCGGAGCCCATGTCCTTGTGCTCATTCAGCTCTGCTGGTCGTTGGCAGTCCTGGAAACCAGGAGGGGCAGGTGCGCTGGGCGCCCCACAGCCGGGTCGCCTTGCTGCCACGCTCACGGCCTTTGCGGAAAGTCCCCGCCACCCGCCCTTCCTGGTACCTGTCAGGCCGGGTGCCTGCGGCCCTAGGGCAGGAAGGTGGAGACACGTGGAAACACGACCCTGCAGCCCCTTGTCTGGCTGTCAGATCAGCACCCACCCTGAGCAAACACACGGGAAGTTCTTTTTCCTTCTCTGGGAGCCGTCGGGCCCTTTGGAGGACCTTCTGCCCCTCCCCGGGGTTGCTGCTGTTCACAAGCGACGTCCTTCCCGAGGCTCACCCTGCTGCTTCTCCCCTCCCGCCCAGGATCATGCGGCCAGATGACGCCAATGTGGCCGGCAACGTCCACGGAGGAACCATTCTGAAGATGATCGAGGAGGCAGGGGCCATCATCAGCACCCGGCACTGCAACAGCCAGAACGGGGTGAGCGTCACGTGGAAGACCCCGGGCCCTGGGGGCCTGGAGTCCCCTCTGGCGGTGCCGCACCCCTGTCCACTGTCGGGTCAGGAAGGGAGTTTGGGTGGAGGCCAGGCCTGGAGCCTTCCCCGCCCCGGTCCCTGGGCCTTGGGGGGTTTTGGGAAGCTCCGGCTCTGGACTGCGGACCCCTTGCATTGGCAGTTGGTTTGGGGCTCAGCGAGGAGGGGTGGGGACCTCCAAAAACTCAGCTGAGAGCTGCCAGCTGACAGAGCCACCTTTCCAGCCCTCCCGCTGTGTTCAGGGAGAGTCAGCTTCCTGAGCCCCCGGGGGCCCAGCCCCCCCAGAGCCTCCATGGGCGGCAGTTAATCCTGGGTGTCACACCGCCTGGACCCGGACCCGGACCCCTCCCCTGCTCCACTGACCCTGGGTCCACAGGCAAGTCTGGGCTCTCCCCTTGGTGGCTTCCGGGCCGCAGAGGCCCGCACAGACTCCTGCGATGTTGCCGGCTCTCCTCCCGCCGCCCAGACAAGGCCAGGCTGGTGGCTTTAGGCTTCAGGGCAGCTGCGGGGAATTCAGCCCGTCATCTCCTGCCCGGCCCCCAGCCCTGCGGGACCTGTCGTTCTCTCTGAAGCCCCCCTCGGGTGCTGGAGGAAGGAGTCAGTCTTGTACCCCAACTGCCAACTCGGCACCGGGCGGGCACGGAAGCGACTCCAAGGAAGCCTGAGGCCTTGTGCACCTGGGGGCCCCAGCGAGCCACTTGCTGTGCCATTGTCCTCCAGGCCCAGAGGCCGATTCCACGCCCGCGCAGACTGTGCATGTGCGCATGCGTGTGCACGTGTGTAGACTGAACCGAGCCGGGGTGAGTGTGTGTGGGTGGACGTGAGCCTGGGGGCCTTCACCTGGGGAGGAGTGAGAGTGGGTTGGGCTGGGGGCCCTCCATGTGAGGAAGGGGCTCTCCCGCCTGCTAAGAGTTCGCCCTTGAAGTTCTGGGGCAAACCCGGCCACGTTCAGAGAGCGCCCTCTGGTGGCTGTGAGGACCGGCCTGAGCCCGAGGGGCCGGGGCTGAGGTGGGGGCCCGGCCCCTGGTAGACCCTCCGAGAGGGGGACGGTGAGGGTCCCAGCCAGGCCTGGCAAGAGAGGCTGGACGCTGGGAAGGAAGAGCCCCAGGACTTGGGAGGGAGGGAGGCCAAGTGGGTGACAATGCCCTGGTAACCGCCAGAGTTCAGTGACCACCTAGGGTTTTGCAAAGCTCTGTAGCATTTAGCTTGTGTCGTCCTCACGACACCCCTTAGAGGTCGAGGTGGTTATTGTATTATCCCCACTGCACAGATGAGGAAGCTGAGGTCCAGAGAGCTTGGATACTTGCCTGAGACTTATTTGTTCTCACTCGTTCCCCAGAGTGAGCCTGGGTTGCAGGTCTGGCCTGTTGGCCGGGAGATGCCTCTGGGCTGGTGGCCCCAAGATAGCGATCTGGAATCCCAGGCTCAGGAAGGGGGCGTGAGCCCCAGGCAGCTCCAGGGGGCTGAGGCTGGCCTCTGAATGGCTCTGCTGGGGCTCTGGGTGCGCCGGGAGCACTGCCACCCACACTCCCTTGGTGGTCTCATCCAGCCTGTGGCTCTAGTACCACGACACAGCCCCGAGGTCCTCTGTCCAGCTGGTGCCTCTTAGCTGGCTCCCCCTGGATGCTTAATCCGCCCTCGACCTGGATGGGCCCCAAAACACACTCGGGGCCCGCTCCCAGGCTGCTTCTCCCACGGCCTCCCTCTGCTCAGTAAATGGCCTCTGGAGCCTCCGTTGACCCCCTCTTCCTCCCACCCGTGGACCCTGGCATCCAGTCCCATTGGCTTCACCTTGTGGATAGTTCCAGGTCCGAACACTGCACACCAGCCCCACCGCCATCTGGGCCGAGCCACTGCCGCTTCCTGCCCAGATTGCCTAACAGCTTCCTAACAGGCCTCCCTGCCCCTGGTCTGCTGTCCAGTAGCAGCCAGAGAAACCCATCCTGTGTGAAGTCAGGGCAGGGCTCCTACTCCTTCCCCTCGTCACGCCCCTGGGCCACGCCAGCATTCCTGCCCCAGGGCCTTTGCACTGGACCTTTCCCCTGCCTGGACCACTCTTCCCCCAGAGACCCACGTGTCTCCCCCTTCCTTCCAGTCTCTGCGTAAATACGATCTCCACGTCCCCGACAACCGGCTCCCTCACTGCTCCCAGCTCTTGCCCACAGCACTGTCCCTCCTGGCACGCTGCGTTTTGCTCATTTAGCTCTGGGCTGCTTCCCCCACTAGAATGTAAGCCCCACCAGAGCAAGGACTTTTGCCCGTCATTTCCCTGCTGGATTCCCTTAGCATCTAGGCCAAGGTCTGGAACGCAGTGGGCTCCCATTAGCTGTGTGTCTGGAGTAGTTGTCTGCGGAGAGCTTCTGCTTAATGCACACTTACGATGCACCAGTGGCCACACTGCGTGCTTGACCTTCCTTACCTGGGGAATCTCCTTAACCCCACTTTGCAGGTGAGGAAATGGAGGCCCGGAAAAGTCATGTGGCTCCCAAAGGTCACAGAGCTGCATCCTCTGAGTGGGCATCAGCCGAGAGGACCTGGGTGGGTGAGGGGGCAGGTGCAGCTCACATAACAAGAGCAGTAGGAGTTAACTCTTTCTGGACCTTGATCCCTACGTTTCTGTGAGAGCAAGGCAGCCCACCCCTCCTCTCCACACAGCATCCACTTGAATCCTGGCGGCAGTCACTAGTACCATTTATTATCTGTATTTTGCAGAGAGACCAGGTCAAGAGCTAGTGCCAGAGCTGGGATTTGAGTCCAGGGCACAGACCTGTTTCCTCTGGCTCTGCTTCTGAAGCTGCTGTCCCAGCTCAAAGCCCCGTGGCCCCTCAGGAGCTCAGGCCCGTGGTTTTCCAGGCATCTGTGCCCAATGGGCAGTGCGACTCAGGCTGCCTTCGGGAGCATGGCAGAGGGTGCTTCTTGGGCTAGATGCTGATCAGACCCTCATGGCTGCTTCCCGGGTCGGGGCCGCTCCTCCTAGTTTACGCCCCGAAGCAGGGACTTACGGGTGTGTCTGAGCCGCTGGGAGCCACAGACACCTACAGCTCGGAGACGCTCACACTGAATAAACATTTGTCAGCCTGTGTTTTGAATTTCTGGGTCACACAGGTCTTTATGGAGTGCCTGGGGTGGCCCGCTAGGTCTTGGGAAACGGCAGTCAAGTTGGAGCTGCCTGGGTCCCAGCCTGTGCCGTCCACACCCAGCTGGACATGGATTCAGCAGCAGCCTCCAGTTCCCCCGGGGTCGCCCTGCCCTCCCCTCTGCCTGGGGTGTCTGCACCCCACACCTTCTCCTGCCTGACACCTCAGCATCCAGGTCTCAGCCCCTCACCTGCAGCTGCCCCTCCCACATCGGCACCTGAACCCCACTTCCCACCCCCCACACCTCACGCTGCCCTCTTCGGAGCACCTGCCACGTGCTCATCTGTCATCCGTCCCCCAACCAGACCCCAGGCCAGGGGCAGGCACCGAGTGCAGGGCCTGGCTCCATAGATGCCACCACAAGTGAAGGAATGCCTCTGTAGCCTTAAAAAGGCTGGGGTCCATCTAAGGCTCAGATGTTTAAAGGCAGAAGAAACGAGCTGCATTTCCATTTAAAATATTAACTAACGTATAGGAGTGTTACCTGTGTGCGGACATATCCATTCCATAGTTTAGCCACCCTTCAACAAAGACAGCTCCTTTATTTCGTTTTGGGTCTTGCAGGCGGAGCTTGGATAGTTCCAGAAGTGGCCCAGAGGCTGGCCCCGCATTCTTGCCCCCCTCACTTCGCACTTGCCTTTCCAGCTTTCTGCCAGTGGGTGGCGCTGTAGCCACACAAATGTACTCGGGGTGACGCCCAGCAATTCCCTCGCATTGTTTTAGCGTCAGGGGTGACACGTCTGTGTGGGGCGGGGGCGGGGGGGACAGGGCCCCGGCAAGTCAGAGGGGGGATGCCACAAGCTGCACTTGCCTGCTCAGCTCGTGCTCTGCTGCGTTGAGAGCTGATTCCAGGACATTTATAGGAACAGAAACCATCAGAGGACCCCCGTGTGTCTGAGGATCTCGGGGGAAGGGGTGAAGATGGAGGTCCCCAGGCGTCCCTCCAAAGAGACAGGTTCTGTGGGTTTGGGGCGGGTCAGGGAATTTGCATGTTTGCCAGGTGTTAGGTGAGTTCTCGCGCAGGTGGGAGAGCTGTGCTTTGGTGCCACAGGTGGTGGCAGGTGGCCGGTGGGAAGAGTGCAGACATGCCAGAGCTTGAACTGACTGTCACCTACAAGCTTAATATCTCCAACCCCTGCAGAAGGGGTGCTGTGGGGACCAGCTGGAAAAGTGAAGTCCAGCGCTGGCACGGCACCGACAGGCCCTTGAGAGTGGGCCCATCTGCTCCCTGCTCCCCACCCAGCCCAGGGGTACCCATGCTGTCCAGTGTCCTAAAAACCCTGATTGGTTTCTGGTAGAAAGTGCAAAAAGTGCCAGGTGCTGTGTTTGGCAGTGAAGATCCACGGTCCTGTGGCTCACACGTAAGATTGTCTTTTGTGTCTTTCGGTTAGCATGGATGAAAAGGAAGCTGATTCCATAATATATGAAGAATTCATACAACTCAACAACAAAAAATAAACAACCCGATTAAAAAATGGGCAGAGGAACTGAATAGACATTTTTCCAAAGAAGATATACAGATGGCCAACAGGCACACGAAAAGATGCTCAACATCTCTAATCATCAGGGAAATGCAGATCGGAACCACAATGAGATCTCCCCTCACACCTGCCAGAATGGCTGTTATCAAAAAGACAACAGATAACCAGTGTTGGTGAAGATGTGGAGAAAAAGGGGACCTCATGCACTGTTGGTGGGAATGTAAACTGGTGTGGCCACTGTGGAAAACAGCCTGGAGGTTCCTCAAAAACTAAAAATAGAGTTGCCATATGATCCAGCTATTCCACTTCTGAGTATGTATCCAAAGAAAATGAAAACACTAATACGAAGTGGTATCTGCACCCTGTGTTCATGGCAGCATTATTTACAGCAGCCAAGACATGGAGCAACCTAAGGGCCCATTGATGGATGAGTGGATAAATACATTATGGTATACACACACACGCAAACACACAATGGAACGTTACTCAGAGGTTAAAAAAAAAAAAAAAAAAAGATGAAATCTTGCCATTTGTGACTACATGGGTGGTCCTTGAGGGAATGATGCTAAGTGAAATAAGTCAGATGGAGAAAAACAAATACCTGATGATTTTGTTCATAGGTAGAATATAAAAGACAAAAAATAAACGAACAAACCAAAAATGCATAGATAGAACAAGGCAGTGGTTAGCAGAGGGGGGTGGGGGAGTGGCCCAGGGGCAAAATGGGTAAAGGAATCGACTGTCTGGTGATGGATGGAAACTATACTTTTGGTGGTGAGCACGCTCTAGGGTATACAGTAGAAATATAACGTTGTTACACAGGAAACTTACACAATGATATAAACCAATGTTACCTCAATAAAAACTAAACGTAAAAAAAAGCTGATTTTCAGTGCTGGTGCGGGAGTGCTGGGGCCACGTCAAGCACTCTGCCCTTCTGCGAAGCACTTTGGGAACACGTACCGAAATGTTTGTCCCTTCCACCCTGGAAACAATCCCCAATACTGAAAATGACTTAACTAAAAGGACCCTCATCACAGGGTTATTTATAATAAGAGACAGCTGAGGTTGATACAAATCTAACAACGGAAGAATATTTTATTTGGCCGTTAAGAAATATCTTTGCAATGGAGTATCGTGAAGTGGAAGTCGTAGAAAGTGTCAAGAAAAGAAATGAGGAAGTAAGTGCCTCACTTTCATAGAATGTGAGCTCCCAAGTGGATCCCACTGGACCCCACCTGCACGTGCTGACTGGCTGCGTCCATCCAGTTACCCAGGGGTCCTGGGTGGCCGGGGACATACACCTTTTTGTTCCTTTTGAATTTTGAGTCATGAGAATGGGTTGCCTATTTGAAGGATAAATAACATTTAAAAAGAAGAACTGTGATTTCTAAGAGCTTGTCACAACACGGGCAGGTTATTTTTCCTCCTGTTGAGTGAAAAAAGCAGATTGTGAAAGTGTGTAAGACTACATATGACAGCTATACATGACTGTAAGTGACAACTGTCTGTGACTAAAACTGCAAAACAAGGAGCCAGACAGCCAAACAAGTGAACCAGTAAAACCCCTGTTCTTGGGGCAAAAAGCCTGGAAAGAAAGATCCCCAAATAGAAACCATGGTTATCTCTGGATGGGAGGAGGGATCTTCCCTCCTCTGCCTCCTTTTCTGTACTTCCCAAATTTTCCATAATAAGTATGTATGCCTTTTTCCACGTTTCATTATACAAGTAATACGTATCTTTTGTAGAAAAGTCAGAAAAAAGAAACAGGCTGCTCGGAACCCCACCACTCAGAATCGCCTGTATCAACTGCTTTGCCGGGTTGCCCTCGGGCAGTGCCTCATCTCCTGGTTTTGCACGTAGGAGTGTGTGGTGGCAATAACTTGCGTTACTTTAACAGTGGGGAAAAAACCAAGGGCCGTTTTGGGGGAGCGTGTCCAGGGTGGGGCCTCGTGGGAGGCTGACCCGCCTCTGGTCTTTGCAGGAGTGCTGTGTGGCCGCCCTGGCCCAGGTGGAGCGCACGGACTTCCTGTCACCCATGTGCATCGGCGAGGTGGCCCACGTCAGTGCGGAGATCACCTACACCTCCAAGCATTCAGTGGAGGTTCAGGTCCACGTGATGTCCGAAAACATCCTCACAGGTAACTTCCTCTTGCTGAGCCCGCGTGCGGGGTTGGGAACAACGGTGACAGTAGAAATAAGGCAGCAGCCGCAGCCCACGTCCATTGAGGGCTGACTGCCCCTGGATGGTCCTAACACTGTCTGTGGGTGACCTCCCTGCATTTCCGCCTCCACCTGTGAGCAGGGACTTCTGCCGTCCTCGCTTCGTTTGCAGACGGGGAAACGGGGGCGCAGACGAGTTAGGCAACGAGCCCAGGGTACGGCCCCCCTGCTTTCCTGGGGAAGAAGGGGCCTGGCGGCCAGCTGGTCCGGGCAGAAGGGTGGAAACGGGCTGGGAGGGCGCATGCCGCCCTCCGGACCCCCTGCCGTCTCCCCAGCCCCCACCTTGCCCTTCCCTGCACGGTGGAGCTGCTACCCCTTGGAAGCTGCTGCCCCTTGGAAGGCGCTGCCCTGGCTTCTGCTCTGCTCCCCTGGGCCCCGCAAGCCAGGCCTAGGCTGGAGCTCCCTGGGCGAACCTTTGACTCTGCTTTGATCTGAATATTCTCTTCCTCGGAGTGGTAACCATGGAAACCCCTTCTCACCCTCCCACTGGGCACTGCAGGGGAGTGTGGCTTCGGTTCACAGTCGCTGCTTTTTATAACAGAGATGCTGAGGCAGGCAGGCCCCTTGGGCCCCTCACTGCCCACTGCCTCGTCCCAGGCCACCCGCTGTCGCACCCAGAGGAGAGTCCGTGCTCATTCTAGAGGAAGGAGCTGCCTGGGTCCTTCTGCCTCCTGCCGATGCCCTCTCCTCAGCCGTGGCTGCCTGCAGAGCGCTGTGCTCAGAGATCTTTAACGGGCTCCAGGCTTCTCCCCGACACGGGCCAGGAGCTCAGTTATTCATCTGGAGCATTGCGGTGACCGCAGCAGGCCCAGCCACTGCACAGTGAACGATTAAGCCGAGCCGCGGCCTGGGGCGGGGGTGGGGGGTGGGGGTGGGGAGCGGTCAGTGGGCTTGTGCCCCATGTCCTGCGTCTGTGGCCTGAACCCGGTCTTTGGCAGAAAGCTCTGGCATCTAAGGGACCTTGGATGCTGGTCTCGGGCTGTGGCACAGAAAGGGGTCCTCTGGCCCTGACTCCCCACATTGGGGCTGGCAGCCCACTGGGAGGAGGCCCAGGGCGGGGCGGGGGCGGGGGTGGGGCGGGCCCCTCCTTCCATCCCCCCTCCCCCCTCCACGTGACCCAGCCCTGCTCTCCTGGGCTGTGCTGGGGGTTGAGCCTCCCTGCTCCTGACACAAGAGGGGAAAGGGCCGTGCTTTCCCGTTGGCTCACGACAGCCGCGGACTCAGTCACTGATGAGTGAATGAAGGAGTGGATGAGTCAGGAAGATTTGGGCCTCTGCGCTGAGGGGAAGCGGGCAGAGGGCCTTGTCTACAAGGATGTGCCCCAGCCTACTTTCTGCGGGATCCCCCCTCTGGGGGCAGGAGCGGGCAGGAGGCAGGCAGCGCTTGCCCAGAGCTGTGGTGGCAAGATGACAGCCCCCACCCCGCAGTCAGGATGCTCTGCACCCGCCAGTGTCCCCAGCCGCCCTGACCCTGAAGGATGGACACGCAGAGCCTGAGCTGCCCCGAGAAGGAGAGAAGTGACTGAGGAGCACGGGCTCCCGGGACAGCGGGCCGGGCGTTGTGCTTGTGAGAGGGACCAAGCCCAGAGCACAGGGGCGCCGGCCAGCATTGCCCAGCCTTTCGAGATGGGGTGCGGGGGGCGAGGCCCTGGGAAGACCCCAGGGCCGGATCACAGGATGGGGACGGCGAGACCTGGAGCCCTGGGGCTGTGCCTTCTCTACACGTCTCAGTCACCTTGCCCGCCTTGCCCTGGAGCCCCTGCTGAAGGGCCGGGCGCCCCCTCCCTTACTCTCACATCCGGGTGCCCCTCTCTGGGTCTCAGCACCGTGTCTGTGCATCTCTCAAACTCTCTCCATCTTTCCATGTTTGGATCTGTGTGAGTCTCTTTTACTCTGGGACCCTGTGTCTCGAGGCCTTCCTGTCTTGATGCATCTCTGCCCGCGTGTCCACGAGGATGGGAGCCCTACGAGGGCAGGCCATGTGGCTGCCTGGTCCGGGGCAGGGCCACCCAGCAGGTGCTCTGTGAACACGGGCCAGGTGGGCGGGTGGACTCGGACAGGTGGGGAGACCGGGCTGGGCGGACAAACAGGCAACCAGGCTGAACCCTGAAGCTGTTCGTGTGCCGTCTCCGTGTTTTAAGACCCCAGGGGGCAGAGCCCCCGTTCTGTGCATCCCCCTCGCTCGGGGCCTTGCCGCCTGCCGTGAGGCAACCGGGCGAGCATGCACCCAGGCAGACAACCAGCAAACCTTTGCTCATTCATCTCCAGCAACTGTCAAAATATTAAGCTAACTGGGACGTGATTGCTGCGAATCACTCCAGAAAATAGCTGGGAGCTCTCAAGATTTCAGAATAGATGTTTTTAGCACTGCACTTGTCTTTTGATGGTTTTATTAAATGATAAAGTACAATTAGCGTGTTTTGCCTTATTTGCTCCATGGTGTTCATTTGGGTCTGGAGGAGGGCCACTTGGGGTTTCCACGGAAACCAGCTTGTCAGGCTGGCTCTAGCTGAGTCAAACAGGAAATCTTTATTCCCCAAAGCAGGTTGTCAGATTCACTCTGTCAAAGTGCAGTGAAGATATTTTTCCGTGTTATTTGCCTGTGGTCCTGGTGGTGCCGTGGAGCCCGGGCGGAGCGGCGGACATCCTGGCATGAGGAGCAGGCCTGGGGCGCCAGGGGCCTCACCCTCTTTCTAATTGACAAGAGGGCTTGGCCAGGGCTTGGCTTGGTCCTTGGGGCTATGTTTAAGGGGAGGAAACTGAAGGCCCAGGTTCGCCTTGGGAAGGCAGGTCAGAAGGAACTGGTAGGAAGTGAGTTACTGAGGGGGACTTCAGGGCAAGCCCCCCGCCCCCGGGCTGCTCCTTGCTTCTCCACTTCCTCTCTCTGTCCTGCAGTTCTCCTGATAGCCACCACATTGGGAATCATCCATGTTGAAGAGGCAACTTCTAAAAGGCCTCCTTGAAAACACTTCTCTGAAATTACTGGGACCTGGGAGGTCCGGGTCTGTACTCAGAATGGCGTCGAGTTGCTGTGTGAGCCTAGGCAATCCCCTTGACCTCTCTGGGCTTCAAGCTCCTCCTGTACAAGTGAGGGGTGTGGACCAAGTGATCTCCAGGCTCCTTTGGCCCATGGTTTTCAGCCTAGACAGGCCTCCTGCCCTGACGGCACCACTCTGCCCTGAGGCTGGGCTTAGAGGCCCAAAGAAGGTTCTTTTTCCTGTCCTTCAGCCCAGAGCAGAAGCCAGCAGCCCACCGCCCTCTCTCAGCCCCCATTTGGAAGCTTCTGCATTGGAGCGCTGAGTCACCAGCAGCAAAAGTGTCTGGTGTGGCGCCTCCCACCTGGAAGGAGGTGGCCCTGGGGAAGGGAGGGGCCGCGGGGGCGGGAGCTGTGATGAGCCCACCCCATTGCTGTGCTCTGGGCTGTGGCCCCGCTGCCTGGGTGGGCTCTGCCTCCACCGCCCCTCCGCCTCAGGTCCATGAGCTGCTTCCTGTCCAACCGGAGCTCTTCTTGGTGGCCAGTCTGCCCCTCCCCACAGCCCTTCCCTCCCTCTTGCTCCTGAGGCTCCCAGGAGGCCTGCCTGGAGTCGGTGCCCTCCAGATGCAGGCCTTCCGAGTTAGAAAGTGCTAGAAAGCCGACAGGCCCAGGCCCCCCAGGCTTAGACCGCGTGACCTGCAGTCTTTCCAGCAGCCTCAGGGTGGGGGCAGGCTGGAGGCCATGCCTCTCCCCAGTCTGTGCCCACACGTGCACCTCACGGCTGAAGAAGGCCTTGGGGGTGGGGGCCAGAGGTGGCATCGGCCCTGCCTGCCCTGTGCCCGGCACCCTGCCGGCTCCCAGCCATCACTCACGTGTTTGTCTTCTCTGAAGGTACCAAAAAGCTGACCAATAAGGCCACCCTGTGGTATGTGCCCCTGTCGCTGAAGAACGTGGACAAGGTCCTGGAGGTGCCTCCGGTGGTGGTAAGGAGGCCCCTCCCACTTCTCTCGGGTGGGTGGCAGGGGCCCGGGTCCTAGGAGAGCAGCATCGGGCAGGGCTGGGCTGCAGCAGGAGGCTCAATGGGAAGGGGCGTCCCTCCTGGGATCCTTCATGCTGGGAATGCCAGTGGGGGCTGGCCTGGGCCCCGCGGACACCCCTCCCAGAGGAGCCTGACCGGAGGGAAGGCGGGTGACGGGGCTGTGCCAGGCGTCCAGTCCTGGGGGCACAGGCTGGGACGTCTCTGCTTCAGCCCCACTCTCTCCCCCTGCTGTGTCTGCTTCCTGCCTTGGTTCCTCTCATTTTGGTTTTGCTGTGGACAGAGGCATCTCTGGGTGAAGAGACTTGGCCATGTTCACTCCCGGGGGCCCCGCTGCAGGCAGGCTCGGGGGGCAGGCGTTTGGAGGGGGCATATTGGGCTGATAGAGGGATTTAGCTCCTTCCCTAACGGCACCCCACTCCTCCTCGTGTGGCTCTCCTGGCCCAGGATGTCCCGAGGACACGCCTGAGCGGCTCTCCCCGGAGGCCTGGTGCTCTGCTCTAACCCCTGTGAGGGAGGGCCGTTCTCAGAGGGCCGGGGCCTGGCTTAGCAGTGTCTGCCCTCAGGGAGCATTTTTCTGTGGTCGAGATGTCTGTAGAAGAAACTTTTAAGAATAATAAAACTGGGAACCAGACAGTTAGGAGCTGTATAGAGCAGTAAAAGGTCCCCAGCCTTTTTGGCAATTGTGGTAGACAATTTTTGCGTGGAAGGGGGCATGGATGGATAGCTCAGGTGGTAATGCGAGCGATGGGGGGTAGCAGATGAAGCTTCGCTCTCTCACCCGCCGCTCGCCTCCTGCTGCGCGGCCTGGCTCTTAACAGGGGGTTGGGGACCCCTGGTATAGAGCACACGGAGGAACGGTCCCTGTCCCCTCCCCCCGACTGCAAGCCCCTCCCGCCCCGTCTCCCCCCCTGCGCACCTTCCTGTGGGCCTGGGTCACTTGGGGTGATGGGGGGCTTGCTCGTTGTGCTGCTGCGGATGTCAGCCCGGGGGCGTTCCCTGCCCTCTCCCTGTGCCAGCTCACATCTGACCTGGGACCCTGCCTGGGCCTCTATGGACGCAGTCCAGGCTCCGGCGGGGCGTTTTCCTGGGGGGTGACCAGCTGCTGGGCTCCAGCTGCCGTTTAGTCTAGACTTTAAAAAAGAATCTTGGTAGCAGGAGCTCTCTCCATGCAGAACAGGAAGTGTGCTTAGACCTTGGTCTGCATCAGGTTGGTGGTCCAGGGTTTGGTACCCTGAGGGCAGGGCGGTTGTGCCAGGAGCACCAGGCCAGCATCGGTGGCACCTGTCCCTCCACGTGTGAGGAGAGAGGGGCGCTCAGGGCCAGGGTGTGAGCCGGATGGTTCCCACGCTTCCCACCTGTTTGAGTTTTCTGGGGCTGCTGTGACACAGTCTGGGGAGCTTCAACAACCGAGTTCATTCTCTCCCAGTTCTGAGGCCAGAAGTCCACAATCAAGGCATGGGCAGGGCTGGGCTCCCACTGGAGGCTCTGCGGGGGATCCTTCCTGCCTCTTCCAGCTCCTGGGGGCTGCAGGCATTCCTTGGCTTGTGGCTGCATCACTCTAACCTCTGCTTCTCTTGTCATCTGGCTGAGTTCCCGTGTGTGTGTGTGTGTGTGTGTGTGTGTGTGTGTGTCTGTCTGTCTGTCTGTGTGTGTGAGTGCGCACGTGTCTTAACTAATTACACCTGCACAGACCCTAGTTCTCAAAAAGGTCACATGCACAGGTCCCACGTGGACAGGAATTTTGACAGGACGCCGTTCAACCCAGAACATTGGCCTTCAGTCCAGCCCACCTCTGTCTTTCTCTCTCTCTCTCTCTCTCTCCAGCTCTCTCTCCGTCTCTGTCTCTCTGTGTTCCCCCCACCCCGCCCCCATTCTTCCTGGAGCTGCTCTCCTCTCTGCTGCTGGCAAGATGGAAATTGCATCATTTTCAAGCAGCACTAACTGAGGGGTTTTCAAACCCAAGAAGCAGGCGTGAGTCTGAGGCGCAGTGACGGTTCCCTTTAGAGATTACAAGCATGCTAACCCCTGCTTTCATCTTTCCCACTAAGCACTTGATGTTAAATTAGCCACATCACATGTAAACACTCAGGCACATTATTTAACTGATCTAATTTTCAGATGCTACACAGTTTAGAAATCTCTAGCAGGCCATATCTCTGGTTTCAGCACCACATGGTGGATCTTAAGGGGTTGCTGCTGAAGGGAGATTCCTGGGCCAAACACATTAGCTTTTGTTTCCTTCTGGCTTCTCAGGGGCCCGAGTGCTGAGAGCCAGTGGGTTTTCAGCCAGTGCGGGGGAGTGAGGAGGGGCGGGTGGGCAGTGTCAGTCTCCGCTGTCCCTGCAGGGACAGGGCAGCTCTCTGTATCACCCCTCTCATCCCCTGCCCTCCGTCCCACCTTCTGGCGGAGACCCCGGTAGCTTTCCCATTCCCTTTGTTTAGCCGAGTTTGATAAGACGTAAATATCCACTCTGCCTGTGTTAGAGGCGAGTGTCGGAAGCCTCCCATCGGGTGCAGAGCGCTCCAGACGGGAGAAGCCACACGGCTCCCAGCCGCAGCCATTGCTAATGTTTATTTGCACTTTCTTCCCCCCACACATACTAGGCCCACGTATAAGCCTTCAGTTGAGTTGAACTGTTTTCGTTTCATCATTTCATTTGAAATGTTTCATTCTGCTCTTTTCATTGGCACGGCCCAGCTGAGTCATGCGATATCGGGTCCTGGAAAGCTCGGGTCTGGCTCTCATGGGCATTTATGCTCAGGTGCTGGTAGCTCGACCATACGACTTCCTTATGTCCTGCCAGCATCCCCCTGCCGACCCCTCACAGGTAGCAGTCATTTATTAAGAACACATACGTCTCTCTGTCTACGTGTGTCTCTTACGTCTCACACATGCACATATACTACACACAGGTTGATCATACGTATATCTCACACGTACACATACATAGATATCTCACACACAGAACACGCATCTCACACACACACACACCCCCGCTGTCACACATACATGTGCGTGTGTGAACCGACCACATGTGTGTGTCTCCCTGGGGGAAGCCCACCTCCCCCCCTGCAGTGTCACTCAGTGAGGACTTTGTCACTTTGCTCCACCTCTTCCCCCAGGGAACAGTGACCTCAGTGGCCCTGTGATGGAAAAAGAGACCCCTGAGGTGGCCGGGGACAGCTGTGGCCCCCGAGAGGCTGGGGGCCATTGGAGAGTGGACACTGGTTTTTATTGGTGTCTAAACATGAGCTTGAGTTAAAAGGCTCACACTGACTGTTGCCTTGGACGTTTGAGCTGAGCTGTCTCCTGCTTCAAAACAGCTGAGTTTGATGAGTCCGTGGGGGTGAGAGTTGAGTGCCAGCCCATCGTCAGGATGTTCCCGTGATGTTGTCCCCAGATTTAAAGCCAGCAGGAGGCGTTTGTTTGTGAACAGGCTGCGTTTTCTTGGTCCTCGTCGCCCGTGTCAGGACCGGGGCCCTCGTCGGTCGCCGTGTGACTGCAGAGGTCTGAGGAGTGTGCTGGGCACGAGGACTTATTAGACTGGGGAGGTTGGCTTGCTTTTCAAAAATCCCTTAAAAAGGCATTTCTTGAGGACACGTAAGACATCCTTGAGTTTTACTAGAAAGGCACAGCACAAACTCTACACTTAGAGGCATTGCTCTGTGTGGTGGGACGTGGGGGAACCATCTGTTTATGGAGGAAGAGGCTTTGTCCACGGCGACTTGAATACTCACCATGCTTTGTTTCTTTTGAACAAACAACTCAGCTCCTTTCACAGCCTCCTTTAGAGACGGGGTCGCAAGCCCAAGATAATGGTAATTAAGCCACGGAATGTGTTCAGACCTGGGCAGTTTTGGAGCAGAGCCACGAGCAGGAAAAGCAAGATGTTTAAAAGCGGCTTTTGGAAGAAGGTCTGAAATCGCAGGGGGCAGAGAGGAGCACACGGGGCCCTGAGCCTGGCGGCTATTCTGCAGGCTCAGCAGGAGATGCAGGTAGAATGGATGGAAGGGCAGCAGTCAGAGCCCATCAGAAGGAGAGCGGCCAGGCAGGGGTCAGCAGGGAGGGTGAGGCTGGTCAGGGGGCCTGTGGACCCCGGGCCTGTCTGATGGATCCCAGGGTAGGGGGTGTTCCCTACACTGGGCCCCAGGACGGTGGGCACCAGAGGGCCCGACATTCTCCATTGTGCCAACCTTGATTGTCACCTTTATTTTTAACTTCTTGGGTCAGAACCCCCGTGATCCATTAGGAAAGCGTCAGGGGGGCTGTTTTAGCTTTGGTGGGTGTCAGCTGGCCAGGAGTCAGCAGAGTGAGGCTGCCCAGTGTTAGGGGCACACGGGAACCTGTTCCCTCCTCTCCCTGTTTGTGGGAGAGGGGGTGCAGCCTTCCTGGGGCTCCCTGACTCTGTAGTTCTATGTCCAGGAAAGAATCCCAGGAAGGAATGGGGTAGGTATAACATGGTAAGTGGCTGAGATTGTCAGTATGATTTTTTTTATATACATTTATTTATGTATTTATTTTTGGCTGCATTGGGTCTTTGTTGCTGCACACGGGCTTTCTCTAGTTGCAGCGAGCGGGGGCTACTCTTCATTGCGTTGCGCGGGTTTCTCATTGCGGTGGCTTCTCTTGTTGCGAAGCATGGGCTCTAGGCGCGTGGGCTTCAGTAGTTGCAGCACGCAGGCTCAGTAGTTGTGGCTCGCGGGCTCTAGAGCGCAGACTCAGTAGTTGTGGCGCACGGGCTTAGTTGCTCCGCAGCGTGTGGGATCTTCCCGGACCAGGGCTCAAACCCGTGTCCCCTGCATTAGCAGGCGGATTCTTAACGACTGCGCCACCAGGGAAGTCCCTGATATTGTTTTAATGGTCAAAAATTGGGAGCAAACTAAAGGCCCAGGTATGATGGATCCATCACATAAATTATGGTAGGAGGATACAGTGAGAGGAGGAAATACCATGACTTTGAACTTCACATACAGCATGGCAGTACCTTTTATTTATACACGGGCATGAAAATAATTCTAGGGAGGACGTAACGCAAACATTTGACCCAGGCACTCTTGCAGGGGAAGAATACATGATATTTTCCCCTTCTCTGTGTTTTCATTATTTATATTAAACATATACTATCAGAGAAAGAATAGATAGTTCCAGTCACAGAAAGGCAGCGCGCACAGCAGCTGAGCCTGGGGCCCGGACCTGACCCTCTCCCATGCCCCCCGCAGTACTCCCGGCAGGGGCAGGAGGAGGAGGGCCGCAAGCGCTACGAGGCCCAGAAGCTGGAGCGCATGGAGACCACGTGGCGGAACGGGGACATCGTCCAGCCCGTCTTGAACCCAGGTAGGAGCTGGGGTGTGGGCTGGGGCCGAGGCAGCGCAGCCACTTCACGAGCGTCCTCTTCCTGGGCCGGTGCGTCCCCTGGTGCTGTCTCCTGGGACAGGCCCTGGGGTCCTGGGAGCACTGTCCCCTTGGCCCTGCACCTTGCAAGCCCCTTCCCAGTCGCACAGCCGACCATGGAGATGGGGGGACAACCCCGCAGGCCTCGGTGCGTCTGCTCCCGTAGAGTGCTGACCCGGAGGCCCCCGTGGGGAGAGGCCCTGCTGCCCAGGCAGAGGGACACACGCCTGGCCACGGAGAATCTGTCCCCCAAGTTCGCCTGAGAGTGTGTTCTGGATGGGATTTCCAGCTCATGAAAAAGACAGAAGGGCAGCAGCGTTTCCCACATTGTTGTTCCCCGGCCCGCCGCCCAGACGCGGCCTCAAGTTAGACAGACTCTGAGCGCCCGGGGCTGCTGCCTTCCGGTCTTCATCCTTGTGCCTGTAAGTCCGGGCTGTCGGCTTTAACAGGATGCGCCTCCACAGTCCAAACAGGTGAGGGAGGGTTCCCGAGTCCCTGCCAGAACACCGTGCAGGGCTGCGCCTGGGGGCCTTGGGGCCTGGCGCACATCACCCTCCTCTGCACACACAGCGACCACGTCTTACCGTGTGGAGAGTGGGCTGCGCGCCCTCAGCCTCCCCGTGTTGGCCGGGCTCCTGTGATGAGTGTCCACGTTCCATGTTGGGTCCCGGAGCGACTCCTCAGGGGCCCTGCACGCGGGTGCTGTGGCTCCTGATCTGGTCCTGGCCTGCCGTCTGAGCACTGGCCCCAGGGCGTCCCTCTGCTGCTCCATGTGCCCTGGGCTCTGCCCGCTTGCCGCTAAGGAGGAGCGCGGTGAGCTCTAGTGCGGGGGCTGGAGAAGCTCCGCCTGCCCGCCCGCCTGCCTTCCTGGCTGCAGCCCACTTTTGGCATCAGGGTGGGTGTAGGGGGTCGGGACTGGTGAACACCTCGCAGGCGTGCAGACTAGGACAGGACTTTCTGGGTTTCGGATTCTGTCATTTATCGGGGGTGCGCTTGACGCCTCTGGCAGTGTCTGTGCGGCTTGTGTAGGGCTCCCCTCATGCTCATCCTTCCTGAGTTCCACCCTCACCTGCCCACAGTGAAGGCCAGGGCACTGGAGGTTGGTGTCCTTACTGTTCTGCTTTTTTATTTATTTTATTTATTTATTTTGGCTGCATTGGGCCTTCGCTGATGCACGCGGGCTTTCTCTAGTTGCGGCCAGCGGGGGCTTACTCTTTGTCGTCGTGCACGGGCTTCTCACTGCGGTGGCTTGTCTTGTTGTGGAGCACGGGCTCTAGGCGTGTGGGCTTCAGTAGTTGTGGCACGCGGGCTCAGTAGTTGTGGCTCGTGGGCTCTAGAGCGCAGGCTCAGTAGTTGTGGCGCACGGGCTTAGTGGCTCCGCAGCGTGTGGGACCTTCCCGGACCAGGGCTCGAACCCATGTCCCCTGCATTGGCAGGTAGATCCTTAACCACTGTGCCACCAGGGAAGTCCACTGTTCTGCATTTTCAACAAACACCAAAAAAAAAAAAAAAAAGGGAAGAAAAGAAAAACCTATCGGTATAATAAAATGTTGCTGTTTTGATAAAACCTGATAAAGTTGTATCTTTAAACAATAAAATGTAAATAGACGGTAATCCACAGGCCTGCGGGCTCTTGTGATGACTCAAGTGTATCCAGGCCCTGGGACACATGCCACCATCAGGCAGCAACCTCAGGCCCAGCCTCTGCTTTCAGGAGGCAGGTCAGGCAAAGGCACGGAGGACTGCAGAGGGACGCAGAGGGGCCGAGAGGTCTCGGGAAAGGCACAGACTTGGTGCCGGGCGCGTTCCTGGGAGAGAGGCTGGAGCGGGCCAAAGGCAGCACTCCTCACCCTGGAAGACAGGTCCACGCCCAGTCCCTGGGCCCTGTGACTGTGACCTTATTCGCAGAAGGGGCCTTTGCAGGTGGTATCAAGTTAAGGACCTCAAGATGAAGTCGTCCTGTGTTACCCACAAACGTGGGGAGGGTCCCAAATCCAACGAGGGCCCCAAATTCTGTAAGAGACAGAAGGGTAGAGACAGTGTCAGCCCAAAAGCAGCAAAGAGGGGAGCTCGGAAGAGGTGCTGGCTGGCATCTGGGGGCTGGACCCACCTGTCCTTGGGTGGTTACTGGCCAGTGCTGGATGGAGGCTGGGGCCGGCTCAGTCTTGAGCTTTGAGAGGCATGAGGTTCATCCTGGTTTACTCCTTTGACTGACTGTCTGGGGAACTAAGATTACTCAGGGTTTTCAGTCAGTTTAAGTTCCTTCACTCATGAGATAATTTTGTTTGCCATCCTCTGATTGTAAATCTGATCCATAATATTTTTCAGGATCTGTTATTCTCTAATGATATTAATGGAAAGTGGCATTCTAAATCTCAAGATTTCTTGATAGATTTTTACAAGCTTTTATTTTTTCCTTTTCTGGCCTTAATAAAAACGCATCTTTGGGCTTCCCTGGTGGCGCAGTGGTTGAGAGTCCGCCTGCCGATGCAGGGGACACGGGTTCGTGCCCCGGTCCGGGAAGATCCCACATGCCGCGGAGTGGCTGGGCCCGTGAGCCATGGCCGCTGAACCTGCGCGTCCGGAGCCTGTGATCCGCAACGGGAGAGGCCCGCGTACCGCAAAACAAACAAACAAACAAACAAACAAAAAAACCGCATCTTTCTCAGCAATAGGGACTGGCTTTTAACCACTTCTTAAGGAAGTCACATATCCATTCTCTGGTCTTTTTGAATACTACAGTGTGCTGTTGTCACTGGGGTCTTCTAACACTCTCCCCGTTCCTGGAAGGACCCCCGCCCCGCCCTGATGAGGCAGGCTTGGCCCAAGAGTTGCCACCCGCCCCGCGCCGGCAAGGCCCTCTGGACCTGCCGCTCCCTGTTACTTTTGAAACCAGAATCACATTTCAGCCTCTGTGGCTGTTGCCTAGCAATCCCCACAAGGGGCCAACCTCCTCTTTCAGGTGTCTTTTCAGAGAGTCTGGGAGTTCTTTACAGGCCCAATTTTTCTTATTGTTTTCTCCATCTGATTAGACAAAATACAATTACCTTGAATTCTTCAACCCATGGCCATTAGTTGTCCAGCTTTAACCGTGTAGGGACTGTTTGGCCACGTGACCCACCTTCTTTCTGGGAGCTGTTGGGTTTATGACAAAATCAGCCCTGGGACTTCCCTGGTGGTCCAGTGGTAAAGAATCCGCCTTCCAATGCAGGGACGCAGGTTTGATCCCTGGTCAGGGAACTAAGATCCAACATGCCACGGGGCAACTAAGGCCGCGCGCCACAACTACTGAGCTCGCACGCCTCAACTAGGGCCCGCGTCCCGTAAACTACAGAGCCCACGCGCTCTTGGACCTGCGTGCCGTTAACTAGAGAAGAGAAAACCCGCACACCACAACTAGAGAAAAGCCCGCGCACCACAACGAAGAGCCCGCACACCACAACGAAGAGCCCGCGCACCACAACGAAGAGCCCGTGTGCCTCAACAAAGGTCCTGTGTGCTGCAACTAAAACCCGACGCAGCCAAAAGTAAATAAAATAAATAAGTAAATGAAAATAAATCTTCAAAACCAGCCCTGCCTCTTCCCCGGCCTTTGTGTTTGAAGCAGTGTTCACCTCTAAGTCCGGTCCCCACTACCGGGACAGCCGGGGTCTTGGTGAGTCACACCCACCCCTCATTCCTGCTCAGGCCCTGGACCCTGCCTCCCTGAGGTCAGCCGGTGCCCGGCCACTCCCGCAGGCTGATCAGCCCGGAGCCGCCCCTAAGAGTGCTTGGTGCCCGTTAGGGGCTTGCGCTGGATGGGAGAGCCTTCTCCCCAGGGTCTGGCCAGGCCCCGTTCCCCCGCTCCCAGCAGCACTTGACCTGGGGGGCGTTGGGGGAGGCAGGAGGAGGAATACAGGGTCTGGAGCCGGACCTCTGGGCTTGGATCCCAGCTCTGCGCCATGGGGACTTAGCCCTTCTGTGCCTCAGGTTCGTCGGCTGCAAGCACGGAAGAGGGAGTTCTGTGCTCGTCTCTGGCTGCCCTGGGGACCTAACTCAGGTTCTGGACCTCATTTTGAAATCGCAGGTTCAAAGATTAGGCACTGCATTAGTCAAGGTCATTGTAGCTGCTTACGCTCTAAAATCCTAGCTCCTAATAACTCAGTAGAGGTTTATTTCCTGTGAACTCCTAATCGGGGGATCTCCTCCAGGAGGTGGGGACTCAGGATTCAGGCCCTTTGGTCCTGTAGCTCCGCACCTTTTATCAGGTAGCTCTCGGGAGGGGAAAGAGCAGGGAGGCCCCCCTCCCGGGGGTTTTGACGGCTTGGGCCTGGATGCAGCACTTCCACTCACTCTCCTGTGGCAGGAGAGCAGCCGTGCAGCGGAGGCTGGGAAACGCGCTCCAGCCGTACACGGGGGAGGGTGAGGAGAGGAGCTGCCCAGTCCTGCCTTCTGGTCACACGTGGTACACCTCACCCTCAAGGACAGCGACCTGGAATCCTGTCCAGCCCCACCATCCGTTCGTTAAGGCAGCGCTGGTAGCGATCACGGATAAGCCCCAGGTGTCTGGGCCTTGCCCTTGAACTTGAAGATCCTCTTCACGTTTCCCTGTAGTTCCCCTAAGAAACAGGACGTGAAGAACGGGGGAAAGGCCACTGAGGACAGGAAGTGCCTGATCCAGGGGCCGTGAACCCACAGACACGGTCCCACCCTGCAGAGCCCCGTTGAGTTACAGGCCACGGCCCAGGGAAGGAGGACCTGGGTGTTGGGTGCGTGGGTGTATTTTTTTTTCCCATCAGAATTGTGGTGTTTTCTCTCGTTGGAAGCTCATCAGTGCCAGTTCCAAGCACACTGAATCATTAGACATGGCTTAACTGATACTTTAAACATGACTGCAGAACGGTGGGGGGCATCTCTTTGACCAGGTTGTTATAGTCATTTCAAGTGGCTTGTCATTCGAATAAGTAGATAGTTGACATGACAAAGATTTTTGTATGCTATTTCCATTGTTTGAAATTTTTAAAAACTTTTGTCATCGTGCACACACAAACCTCTTAGCTGGTCAGAGCAGCTCCTGAGAGCAGGCCAGGCTTGAGGCTTTTCATTTGCATTCGTGCTGTAAAGTAGCTACTTGGATGTCTTCTATGAGTGAGACCCAAAGCAAAGAAAGCATAGGAGGGCACCCCGTGGCTCTCGGGGCCTGTTTATTCTTTGAAGAGAGAGGCCCAAGGGAGACAGTCCTTGGAGATCAGGGGTGTCGTGGGCTGGCAGCACTGGCCTGGAGTGTTTCTCTGATGGCTGTGGTGGCAGAGGGACTTCGCTGGCATCCTCTGTGGCCCTTGGGCTGTGCCCCTCCACCCCGTCTCCCCAGACCATCTGAAGCCCAGAGGCCAGAGTAGGCGTGGCCCTGGCTGCACCCTTGACCGGCCGGGGCTGTTACCCGCACTTCCTGAGCACAAGGAGGGTTTCGGGTGCGTCTTCTCCACTTGGAGGGAAATTAGGAACCGGGCAGGGCAGAGTTCTGGACGCCTTCTCAGGGCCTCCCTTCTCATCCCGCGCAGCGTGTCCGGCCACATTACCCGAGGCCCAGATGGTCTCGGATGGTCCAGGCCATTCTGGACGCCCCGGGGCCTGGGAGGCAGCTGCGAGAGGAAGCATCTCCTCCCTCCGGTCGTCTGCACTGACCGGTCGTCTGTATCCCCGGGGATGCCGGGGGACCCTGGAGCTCCCCTCTCAGAGCCTTTGGAGTCATCCGTGTCATCTGTTGGCTGGTTTTAGATAGCATCCTTGCACACCTGCTCCCACGGGGCCCACACGCGGGTGGGTGGGCTGGATGGCTGAGTCCTCAGACTGTGGCCTCTCGGGACGGAGTTCTCCACTCGGCTGCTGACCACCAGCTCCTGACGCCGCGACAGGCTGCTGCTTCCGACGTCCCCGGCTTGAGGGTTCACCCGAGGGGGGAGCTGGGACCTCCTGTGGTGGCTGGCGCCCGCCTCTGCCAGTCACACTGAGCCATGGAAGCAGGCCGGTCGCCAGAACCCCCGGAGGTGGGAACTGACTGTGGATAATAATGAGAGACCCCTCCCCCCATCCCACCCCGCACCCCAGGCTGCAGCCACTTCATTGCTTCTGACACAGCCGAGGGCCCTTCCAGCTGAGAGCATCCCGAGATGCTTGAGTCCTTCCCGTAGGGACCTCTCAGAGCAGATGGCACTTCACACACGAGCTCAAAACTTGAGTCTAAATCTCTCTAAGCCGTGAGGCTTGAGAACAAATAGAAAATATCTTGAGTTTGGAAGTCAATCCTTAAGGCCCCAGCTCACCGGAACTCCAGTTTTTCCCACTTCGTGACCCCTTCAGGCAACCACACGGTCTGAGATCCCACGTGGAGGAGCATCAGAAAAAGTCTCGGAGGCAACTGTCGGCGCTTAAGAGACCCAGGCCCCGACCTCTGGGTTGGCGCCCCTTCTGGCTCCTGAGCAGCGTTACTTCCTGCACAGACTTTTCTGTCTACCGCCAGAGACAGGAAGGACCTTTCTTCACCTGCAGGCTGTCCCAGCCGTTCGGGGGCCTGGCAGGCTGGCTTCCTCGGCAGTTTGGTCTTGCTGGGGCAGGAAGGGGCTACCCTTTCTGAGTGCCAGCTGTCCGGGCAGGAAACAAATGGGCGTCATCCCTCCCGGAAGGCTTTGGGAAGGTGGAAGCAGGCACAGCAGTGGGGTCTGCTCAGAAGACCCACCCCGTTGGAAGAGTCTGTGTCGAGGGATAGTATCGATTTCTGGAGACGGGGCTTTATTTCATCTTTTTTTTTTTTTTTTTTTTGCGGTACGCGGGCCTCTCACTGCTGTGGCCTCTCCCGTTGCGGAGCACAGGCTCCGGACACACAGGCTCAGCGGCCATGGCTCACAGACGCAGCCGCTCGGCGGCATGTGGGATCCTCCCAGACCGGGGCACGAACCCGTGTCCCCTGCATCGGCAGGCGGACTCTCAACCACTGCACCACCAGGGAAGCCCTTATCTTTTTTTTGAAGTGCAGCCTCTTACAGATATTTCAGCAGCAGCAGTGCCGCGTGGGTGAGGGATGCTCCCAGAGACTTGGTGCTCTGGGAAGATGAACGGGAGACACTGGAGGAAAGGCCAGCACACGGCCTCGGTGCAGTGTCTCCAGGGCCGGGTCGGGACTGAGGGCTGGCAGGAGTCCCAGGGTGAGGTCTAGGCATGCACGTCTGTGGCGTCTCTGTCCAGTTCCGTGTCTCCACCTACCGTTGTGTTTAATGAAGTCGAAATTTAAACTTTTGAGAAGTTGCATAATAAATTGCTAAAATATTGTCAGTGCCTGTTTACAAACTTGAGAATGAAAGTCAGGTGGGTGACTGTCTCCTAAGTGAGGGTCATACCAACCCTGGGGGCTTATAGGCAGGAGGTGTTCAGTGGCTGCTCAGGAGTCAGGGCAGGGCCTCGCTGGGGACACTGGTGTCCCCAGGGAGTAGTGTCATGACCCACTAGCAGAGTGGCTAATTAATCCTCGAAAGCCTTCCCCCCTCACGGACTGGAGCGTTTTGAGAGCACGGTTTTCCTTAGAGAAATCCCACCTAAGGTGATGAGAGCGGGAAGCCTTCGGTGACCCTGCGAACATCAGGGCGCTGTCGCCACTGTTGGGCCCTTTGGCCATGGGAGTCGATCGGTCCCGTGGCCTAATCTCTCTCCTTTGTGATTCCAGAGCCGAACACGGTCAGCTACAGCCAGTCCAGCTTGATCCACCTGGTGGGGCCTTCCGACTGCACCCTGCACGGCTTTGTGCACGGAGGTAAGGACCCGTGACTCTTGCTGTCCCCTTCCCGCTCCTGGTTCCTTGTTAATCCCCCCAGGAGGCCATGCTGCCATCTGACCCAGTTTAGGCTCTTGTGTTTAATGAAGTGTACATTTAAACTTTTAAGAGGTTGCATAAAAAATTGCTGAAATCCTGTCGGCGCCTGTTTTCAAAATTGGGAATGCAAGTCAGATGGGTGACAGTCCTAAGGGAGGGTCACACGCAGCCCTGGGAGCTCATGGCCACGAGATGTTTAGTGGCGGCCCGTGGGTCAGGGCAGGGCCCTGTGGGGGACAGTGAAGTCACCAGGGAGTGACAGTGTGGCCCGCTGAGAAGGAGGCTTAGTTCAGCACGTTTTTGCCTCTGGCGTTTGCATGTGTTTCTTCCTTTAATCAGATTCCACCTCAGAAAATAGAGGCCTTGAAGTTCCCAGCCTGGGAACCACGGCTGGGACACAAGATGACTTAGCTCCAGGCTCACAGAGGGACACTTTTTACTTTAACAGTGTGTAATTATTTTTTTGTGTGATTTAGGGAAAATATAAGTAGCACATCAAACCCGTAATTTAATGGAGATTATCATCTCAGATGAGGTCAAAGTAAACTTTAAAAAACAAGTCGTTTTAAAGAAAAACATAAGGGGAAATGTTCTTAAGCGGTGTAGACGTTAGCAGAAGTTGTGTGGGCGGTGGAGTCCGGGCACCACTCCTCTGGGGGCACCGAGCAATTCATCGTCCCCCAGGCATGACTGGAACTTGCACGTGCCGTTCGTCTGCACTCTTCATTTCCAGTGGCCTGGAATGCCAAGCTCTCCTTGCTTCTCCATTCTTGAAAATTCCTATTGATCCTTCAAAACCCAGTTCCAGTGGTACCGCTCTGTGCAGGATTACACTGATACTTCTACCAGGGGATGCCTCAGGAGCAGGGCTCAGTCTTATTCTTTGTGTTGGCTCCAGGGTTTCACACAGAGCCAGAGAGGTGCTTTGCAGAAGCTTGTTCTGTGAACAAGAGGCACAGGTCAGGCTTGGGTTGAAAAGCTTGGGATGAGGGGCCCTGGACCTGTCAGAATCAGAGAATGGGCCCTGATCTGAGATTTTTTTTTTCTTTGCCGTACGCGGGCCTCCCACTGCTGTGGCTTCTCCCGTTGCGGAGCACAGGCTCCGGACGCGCCGGCTCAGCAGCCACGGCTCACGGGCCCAGCCGCTCTGCGGCATGTGGGATCTTCCCGGACCGGGGCACAAACCCACGTCCCCTGCATCGGCAGGCGGACTCTCAACCACTGTGCCACTAGGGAAGCCCCTGAGATATATTTTTCAAGTTTGTTTCTTTTTTTAACTAATCCTCTTCTGTGTATTTTCTTTTTTCAATTTCATGATTATTTTCCTCTTTCAACTAAACACTGCTCGCGACGCCCTTAGATATGATTAACTTAGTCCTACCTAAGGGAAGCTCTACTTTACAACAAAGGGTGCTTTCCAGCCCCGTGAATGTTGTGACAATCAGGGTATCTTTCTTCTCTGAGAGCAGCCGTGGCCTTACCAGCCTTCTTGTTCTTTGCCAGCCCTTGCCAGCCAAAGGCCGGGCTTCTGTAACTGCTAAGAACTGTCTTTGAGCCTCATAGAGCTCCGCTCTACCTGAAATTTGTGAAACTCTATGCTAGAAATTTTGCTTATTTCATCCAGATGTTGGAAGTTCACTAAACGTGGCATTTCCATCATCACTGTCTCCTTGGCAAAAAGTTTATACTCTTCAGTCCGATCTTTCCTCACATGCTGAGAGGCGTCCGTGAAATGCAGGAAGCGAGGGAATTGTTGGAATCCCCTAGAAACCTACAGCACATCGTGCTCATTTACGGAGGCTGTGCGGCTGCATTTAAAACAAGCGCATTTTTTAACGTGTGTTAAAGAAGTGTCTACAATGGCTTTACAATGTTTAGTGCCTATTTTGGTAGGGGTTTTGTGCTCATGATTTGAAAACCATGCCTAATAATCTTACCAAACCTAATCACTTCTTATAGTGCCTCATAACTCACCAGGTGTGGAGGAACAAAATAAATACCGTACTGGAAACACTGAGCCCTGTGATTTTATTGTATTTTCCTATAGAGAGAATACTGTCGGCAAGAATGGTGTCTAAGTCATTTGAATGAAAGTCTCCTGTAAACTGTAAATCAGTAGATGCCAATCGCAGGAGGAAACGGTGAACTGAGATGGATGCTAATTTGGCTTTTATTCAGTAATTCTGCACTGCGTATGGGTCTTTGAAAACCTCCTCCCTGTCTTGTTTTCTGTGATTTTCACACATGGGATAGTCTTCATCTTGAGGACTGGCTCCTACCGTGCCACTTAAAAAACACACACACACACAACAGATCTTGGCAACGCTGAACTGGTGAGAGATGTAGTAGGAAGGGTTGGAAATCACAGATGGAATCCAGGACTCCTGTCAGATGCTGGGTCTTCCCTCCTTTCCTGGCTGCAGGGACAGAGCCTCCGATAATTCATCGAGGGGATAGAAAAGACGCAGGGAGAGAGCAGAGGACCCTCGTTTTGCTGTGTGGGAAGGCGGGCTGGCTGCTTCTCCGTGGTTCTGAATTTCAGGGCCTCTGTGCAGAAGCACTGGCCGGGCTTTTGGCTTCTGCCTTCTGAGTCCTGCATGAATCAATGTGCAGTCCTCTCTTTCTCCTCTTGGTAGCTCTGGGATCTCAGCCCAGAAAAGGCCGTTTCCCCTCCGCTCTCCCCTCCCCCATGGTCGGCTGAAAGGGGTGACCCAGCAGCTATCTGCGGGGCTGTTTAGGTTCTTGCCACAGTCACTCACCCGGACACCCATCCTTGATGAAAACACTCGGAGTAGGAATTGATTTTACTTCCCGAACATGATAAAAGCCCTAGAGTGAGCATCTTACTCAGAAGGGAGCCCAGAGGATCGTCCCCTGAGGTTAGGAGTAAGGCAAGGGACCCTAGTTAACGTTGTTTTGGAGATTTTAGCCACTGCAGTAAAACAGGAGGAAGAAAATAAAGGCACAGGAAGTGGCATAAAAGAAGTAGAGCTATCTGGCTTTGCAGATGGTGCAGTAACATACCTGGAGAACCCAAGAGATTCAGTGAGAAAAGTAACTCAAAGAATTAAAAATTCAGTAAGGTAGCAGCATATAAAATGAATAATAATAAAAAAGGCTTGCCTGAAATAGAAAAACTTCTTTTCATTGTTTTTGTTTGCAGGTCTGTTTGTTTTCTAAGGTGTGTTTTGTGTCAGTGAATTTTAACTCGGATCATGAAACATGACTTTTTCATAATTTGATGAAAAGGGGGCGTTGGTTTTGTGTCTGCGCCTTTGATTCATCTTCTTGAAGATGGCGTTCCCTTCTCCCGTGTTGGCTCCTGAGATGTCCTTTGCTCTGATTTCTTTCCTGGGGGACTCTCCTCGCCCGGCCCTCTGTCGGCTGTTTCCGCGTGGGTTTCCCAGCCCGAGAGGGGGTGTTGCTGCCACAACCGGTCGGATGTGAAAAGAAGCATGCTCCCCAAAGCCGGGGCCACTGTGCTTTGCCAAGACCCATCTGGCCGTGAGGGCCAGAGCAGAGGGGGAGACCCCAGTGATGGGGGCACCCCAGCTCTGCCCATGGTGTGCGTGGCTCTTAGCCGTGGGCCCCTGCTGCCTCGCGGCTCACGGCTCCCTGCGCTCAGCCTGTGCCTTTCTTCCCCTCAACGCGCCTCTTGCTCTCCTGCCTCGGTGTCTTTGTTCACCCTGTTCTTCCCACCTGGCGCCGTCCGCCTGCCCATCCCAAATCCCACGCCCTCCTGGTGCCCCCTGAGCCCCTCCCTCCCAGGCAGCTGCATGCCCTTCACCCCGCTCCACGCCACGGCCTCTCTCGTCCTGCCCCCCGTGCTGGTTGTGGTTTTCTCAGGCGCTCGTCTCCTGGATGTCCCCCTGTCCCTTGCCTGTCTCCCGTGGTGCTCTGCAGAGAAGGAGCTCGGTGAACGGCCATTGAGTGAATGAAAGAAATCTTTTGGAAAGACGGTTTGAGTTGACGCTGCCCGGTGGCCATGTCCTGAGCCATTGGCAGCTTTTCTCTGTTAGAATCACGGGCCGTAAATCCAACTGGGCATGTGGCTCCCATGTCCTCAGACTAAGCTGCCGGGTTGGGCCCACTCATAGGACAGGCTCTGCCCCGTGCTTCACGGTGCCCTGTGGTGCCCACGTTCCTGCAGGGGACGCGTGTCTGTCTGCCTGACCCCCTCTCCCCACCCCCAGCACCGCGCTTTCTGCTCGGCGCCCTGGGGTGTCTGCACTCCATCCCTCCTGTCCCCCGAGTCCAGTCCCTCTCAGGGTCCTCCCTGGAGCCTGCTGCAACCCGTGCCTCCTGTCAAGGTCATTTCTGACCCAAAACCGGTGGGCGGGTCTGGCCCTCACAGTTCAGCCGGCTCCCCTCCACCCTGCCACCTCCTTCCCAAGGCCCAGGATCGCCCTTCCCTGCTCTCCTCCGCCCGCTGCCACCCCTTCAGTCCCTGTGCCGTTCCGCCTTCCTTCCTGTCCTGCCCAGCATCGGGTACCCGGGGCCCCATCCTCGCCCCTGCACTCCCCCCCGCCCACCCCGGGACTCCTGTGTCTCACAACAGCCTAGGCCAGCGGCTCCTGACTCTAGCTGCTTCTTCGGGACGGGCCTCTCTGACTTGATGTCTGGCACGGAGCTCCACTGCTCCCCCTGTGGTGGCGGCCAGGCCACCCTTCTGCTTGTCGAGCCAGAATCCCTGCGGTCCTCCGGGACTCAGTCTCACTTCAAGGCTCTCTGTCTCATCTGTCAGCCAGTCCTTCGGGCTCTACGTTCAAAACGTCAGAACCTGAGTTCTCGCCACCTCCACCATCGCCTCCGGGACATGCGTGTTACCATGGAAGTGGCCTCACACCTGGTCCGAGTTCCGTGACCAGGAGCAGCCCAAAAGCCTCCCTGGTCCACTCAGAGCCAAAGGCAGGTCAAGCTGGGCCTGCTCGGCCCCCTCG